GTTTACGTGGGTAGGTTTCCGTTCCCTAGTCAACTTCGGATGGATCATGGTTTTCTGATGCAGTTCTTGTTGATCTGATTGCTAGTTGTGGTCAGTCGACATGATATCATGGATTTATTCAGTTCGTGAAGGTCAAGACTACGAAAAGGGCTGAATATATCTTAAGATCTAACGAGCTAGATGAGCATAAGTTTTTTTTTCCCTTTTCTTCATATAATCGGCAAGTTTATTTGATTGGAAGGCCGAGTCCCCGGAGCCAGCTCTTTTTTTCTCATTCTTATTGATTTTGATGGGCTAGATCTACTACAGAGAGATTTGATGGCAATTAGAGGATCACTACGAAAGTAAAATAGTGACACATTTACTGTACATAATGTTCTTCTTATATTGAAACGGTTTAGTAGCATATAAGGTATTCTTGTTCAGATTCCTTTTTTTGAGTTCTTGATTTTTGGGTTTCCTCTTTCTCTCTGTCAGTGATAACACCGTATCTCTAAAATGTTAATGTTCAATATGTTTTGTCCCGAGAATTTAAATAGTTAATAGTCGCTATGTTGGTATGAATCTGGATCTACTTCTACTGTTTTACATTTTAAAGCTCTCGGATATCCTTATTTTGCGTCTGACCACCTGTGAAATCACTTTTAGTCTTCATATTAGTCCCTGTTGCTCAAAATTGAGGATGTAAAGTAGTTTTGACATTAGTTTGACATTTGGACTCAAAACAATTTTTTGTTCTTATTAATAACACGTTGATAGTTGTAGTTGATCATGTCTGTATGCATTACATAAGGCTTTACTTTTTGATTCCGATTGATCTGCTTTAGCACACTTAGGTGATAAGGAACACTCCTTTGGGAAATTTCTCCTTTGGCATATGATGACTAAATTCTTCCTCAAATTTCTGTCACAAATTTATTAATTTCTCTGCCATGTGTGAGGGGTTTGTGTTTTGCTTTTTAGTAAGTTTGCTCACTCTGTTGGAGGTCATTTGGTTTAGGAGTATTCAAGCCATTGTACTAGCCCATGTTTGTGCTAAACCTAACTACACTTTGCCCATGCAATTGTTGTTCATTGCAATGTGCCCATGCATTTGTCATTGGTTGGTATATATGAGGTGGAGTTTTTTTGGTGACATTCAACATCATAGAATTATTTGTTGTTAAAAACCTAGGTATATTCATTTGACTTAATAATTACCAAGCGTGCAGGTTGGTATATATACTGAAACCCATTAATGTCTTTTAAAGAGCTTTCTGTTTGAGGACAAAAATTGGTTATCAAATGATAGTATATCCTGGATGATTATGTAGCCTTGTAACTTCAAGTTGCTTGATGCTTTTTAGAAAGTCCAGAATTTTGGAAATTTTAATTCTACAAACACAATAACTTTAGTAGAATATGCAGCTTGAATTGGATTAAGATCTTATTTGCTCTAGGGCCTTCATTCTACATGTACTTTTCCCCCTTTTCTACACAAGTAATAGGTTCTTTCACTTCACAGTTAGTTTTTTGTACATGTGTGATTCATGCTCTCTGAAATTACAGTTTTGCATATTCTTTTACTAAATCAGTGCTCTGTTTTGCAACTGGTCATACAATGTCTGTGGAGATAAATTGTGAAGAGATAGTCATGGAATTTTGCCAAAAAGAAATTTAGCACATCTATAGAACTTGTTTGCAAGAAATTTATAAAAAAAGGAAAAATAAAAAATAAAAGAAAATCAGATTAGAAGAACTAGGATCGGCTAGGGTGTTATCTTTTTTATTCTATTCACTTATGCCAATTATTATTTGAAGCAGCCTCATCTCGGGCTGAGGTAGATTAAAATCTGTTTGATAAATGAATCATATGGCTTTTGTCTGCAGTTCATAGTTGTCCTTTGAAAAATGTCGATAAAATTTTCATTTACTCTGTTGGTAATTTTCTGTACTCTGTATATATTTGAAATGTTATTATTAATATATTCTTTTGGCATGTTACCAAGGAAATCCATGGATGATGTGAGTCAAATAAATTTCTCCAATGATCTTCATTTAATATGGGTGCAATATTCATTTAGGATAAATCAATAATGCTTTAAACTGAAACTTTTTTGGTGTGCTTTCTGTGAGTCAGTTTTTCAAAAGCAAGCTAGATACTCTTTCTTAAAGCATGAGGAGAACAAGTTTTATGAAATTTTTGGTGCAGCTTTAATTTTTTGAAGAAGTCAAGGCAGGGATTTTATATTTTTTCTGTTTGTATATGAGTGAAATTTTTATTTGGTTTTTGTGGGTATACTTAGATGTTTTGAATAAATATAAAGCAGGAGTGCTATTGTTTCTGTGCGAACATGAAGAGAAAAACTTTTATAGTGCCACATTACCTGCTATAGTAACCATCTTAGGACTAGTTTTTATGTGGTTCGTTTTCTCTTGTAGTCCATTCCTAATAGGTTGCTCCTGTAGTCCATCTTAGGAGAGAGAACTTTATAAAGTTACAAAAACCTGCTATCTATGTCCATAACATAACTGCTACAGTATCCTTCTTTTATAATGCTGTACTGGTGCTTTTTGGTTTCTACTCAAGTTCTGATTGTTTAAGGGTTGTTTCACATGGTGGGTTTGCTCCTTTCATCCTAATCAATTTAGGAGCCTTCTGGTCTTTCCAAGTTGATGTACGGTTGCATACTAAATGTCCTCTACTCGAAATAGGAGATTCTCTTCTGTAAGACAATGTAAGAGTCCTTGACTTCCCAATTTCAGCACTATGATGTCTATATTAGCCATATTACTTCCAGGGCCCAAATAAGCCATGTCGCATGTTGAAATAGGGTGTTGTAACATCATTGGAGTCATCCTGATTGACTGCCCAAAGCAACCTTGAAGATGAGCATCCTTTTAGTTGGTTAAATGGAATGTAATCCTATTTTTTTCCTCTTGTTCTGCCTATATCGAGTTTTGTCTCGTGTTCTGTTCTATTCTTGTGGCATATCAAACATAAATGAACCTTGAAATCTAACCCAAGTGCTGAAGTGAGCCATGAATTGTGCAGCATACTGTGTTGTTGCTGTTGAGGCACTTGGCAGACAAATTCCAATTGCCTTCCTCGATAGGATCAAGGAGGACTTCAACAAAAGATATGGAGGAGGTAAAGCTGCAACAGCTGTGGCCAACAGCCTCAACCGAGAGTTTGGGTGAATTTTTTCTCTGTGTCCATTAAAAGTTTAACAGTTTTTGTGTCCTGAGCAAAATTACTGACTGATCAAACTATTTGTTTTAAATCAAGGTCTAAGCTTAAAGAGCACATGCAGTACTGTGTAGACCACCCCGAGGAGATCAGCAGGCTGGCCAAGGTAAAAGCCCAGGTTTCAGAGGTCAAAGGAGTCATGATGGAAAACATCGAGAAGGTTCTATATTTTTCTCTTTTATATAATGTTTTGTTTTCAATTCCCAAATCTAGTGTTGTCTATGCAATTGGAGATAACAATGAATCTTGTTGTTTTAGGTTCTTGATCGTGGGGAGAAGATTGAGCTGCTTGTTGACAAAACAGAAAGCCTTCACTCTCAGGTATGCAAACACATTACCAGGTCGCATTTGGTTCTTGCCCCAGACATATTATCTGATTGAATTCGCATCTATATATTTCCTACCGGAGACATTTTTGTCAAAAGTATGAACTTGATTTTTTGCATTTCAACATCTGCTAGGTTCTAAGTTGTGTAAATAACTCTTTTGGATTTCAGGCACAAGATTTTAGGCAGCAAGGGACACAGATGAGGAGGAAGATGTGGTTTCAGAACATGAAGATAAAGCTGATTGTCTTGGCAATTATCATTGCACTTATCCTCATCATAATCTTGTCAGTTTGCCATGGCTTCAAATGCTGATTTGGATGGATATACTACCACGGGTGCGACCCCTTCTATACATGACTGTTGCTTTTCAGCACAGAGATATCTTTTACAGAACTTATTTGTTGATGATTTGTGGATCGGTGTTCACCCTATACAAAAGGGTATTATTGTTGTGTTATGTTTGCCTGATGAATATGTTAACTTCGTATGTTGATTATATGTGTGTATAGCTTTAAAAACATTTTTCGCCATAGGTGTAGCTCAAATGAACTTTGGATCTCCATATCGAATATAGCCGAACATCATTTTGTTGTGTCATTTCGCTTTGAAAATGTTTGAACGGGAAATATTAATTGTCACACACTGGTTAGGTTCCTTTGTGTCTAAATTGGTATTTGGTGGTAAAGATAACATTTCTAGGGTTTGAATCAAGATGGAAATCCTGCCAGAATGTCAAAAAGGGCAATGTTTGAATTATTAGTTATGTTATTCCAAATTATATTAAAGCTTCCTACACCAAACCAACCTCGTATTGTTCTTTTTTCTTCAATAAATGACATGAATTTGTAAAATGTTTGATGCTTTCCTTCCAAAATGATGCTATATTTCATTTTAATCATTAATAAAATATATATATATATATATATATATATATATATATATATATATATATGAGAGAGAGAGAGAGAGAGAGAGAGAGAGAGGACAGCTGCGTTA